AACCGCGATGGGTTCTGCGGTCGACCGCGAGTCGGGCTGGGCTAGTTTTTAGTTTTTTGTTCCCTTTAGGTTTTGTGTTTGATATATATTAAAACACGACTTTTCTAAGGGTTTGGGAAACCAGATTGGATTTAAAAACGAGATCAGAGAAATTGTTCTTTGATCTAGAGAGATTGTGAGAGAGGGATTTGTAATCTATTATTTCTCATAATCTAGAGAAGGTATTTTCCTTCGCCCAACTCAATTCTTTGTGTGTTTTCTATCATCTTCTTTTCAACTCACTCTTGATAATTCCGCGATCAATGGTGCTCGTCCGACGACTCGTATCAAACAATCTCCACTTTTAATAATAACAAATTAAATTTAAAATACCAAAATACACAAATATTTGAGATATATAAATACACTCTCATGCAAAAGAAAATGATATGAAGTGCTCCCCCAATATTCATGTATTCATAAAAAGTATAGTCACGCATGGGACCCCCCCCCCCCCCCCTAAAAAAAACAATGCATCAAGTGTCTCAAGAATTTAAAAAATCCAAACTAGCGAAACCATTTTGACAAAAACTCACTCATGCAAAAGCTCATCAAATTTCACCAAATTCTCCCTCTTTTGCTATTAGAAAAAGTGAAAAACACATCAATGGATACACTTAATATAAGAAAAATTCAGATAAAAATCATCCAAAAGGTGTATGGGAGAGAAAAGCACACTGGTTGACACAAAAAAATTTATAGAAAAATAACACAAGGGATCAAAATTTAATGACCAAAAAAATTAATAAAAGAGAAAACATGTCAAAAAGCATACACAAAAATTAAAATATCAGTGTAACATGTGAGAAGCATATAATGAAAAGACTTATACTAGTTCATTGGACAAATTTAGATATATCAAATTGATAATATTGAGCAATAATAAGACTTGAATATCAACCTTAAAGACTAAGAACCAAAATGTCATCCTTTCACCTCAACCATATAGGATTTAGGAGGAAGAACAATATTGTTTGGAGGGCGATTTACACCATCTGTAGGATAGCTACCATTTGAGATATGCACAAACATAAATCCATGAATGTGGATCTTTAACCATCTTTTAACGAATACACTTAAATTTTTGCGTGGATTTCATATGATTGTGGATCTTAATCATCTTTTAACAAACACACTCTTATTATTTGATTGATATTTGAATAAATGCACTTTAGATAAAGGATTCTACATTAGCCACGTCAAAAATGAGCTAAAAACACTTGATAAAACAAAAAAAAATCTATAAACCAAATATAAGACTCTCTACCACACATCAAAAAATATGATAAGTATAGAAATAAGATATGTGAAATTCATGCGTGAAATATCTCATGTAAACAATGTATCATGTAATCTTTTTTTGTTATTGTGTGCAAAAAATATATACATAGAGATTGAAAAAAAAAATGTATGTGTATCTGTGTGACATAATCAAGCCTATATACCAAAAGAATAACATCATATGAATCAAACTGTAAAAGCATATACATAGGCATATCCAAAAAAATTTAAAGAAAACAAAAAGAATGAAATTTTCTAATAAAAGTTGGAAAAAGAAAAAAATTGAAAAACAACCTAGAAAAGAAAAGAAAAATAAATAAAAATTTTAAAAATATGTACATACAATAGGAAGGGTTATAGAATATATGTTCACTTACCTTTCTCAAAAGATTTGCTGAAACAACCCTTTATGCAAGTTTTGCCTTTACAATAAATCTTTGCTTGCATAATGAGACCTTCTTTATATGTATCAGCAACTTCTCATTCCATTGTTCTTCTTGATTAGGCTAAGAAACAAATTCTTGTTTTCTGAATACGCTTTGAGCAATCAAAACGGTCGATCGAGTTTCCTGCACCGAAAATAAGTTGGTTCAATATCAGGATCATTAGAATTATATTTATTTACCTTGCTTGGTAGTGATCCTATTTGTCTTGCTGGAATTTCTGACCATCTTTTGATGTGAGGAAGAATTCGTATTCTTTAACAATTTGATCTACATTGTTATGTTTCTCACTCTCAGAATTCAAGCTCACACCCCTATTTGCCTCAGTCTTTGATTTTTCTCTTTTCACTTTCAAAGCTAACGGCTTCTTCTTGTAGTTATTTTCTTAATTGTTTTCTCTTCTATTTAAATGCACTCCATATGTAAGAAGTTTTCCTACAAGATTCTCAAGTGATAGTTCAAAAAAAAAATTGTAACTCTTCGATTGTCATTACATTCGATTCCCAATCCCTATCAAGAGAATGAAGAATTTTTCTTATATTCTCCTTGTGATCATATTTTCCCCCAAAGCTTTTGACTTGTTCACAATGTCTGTGAATCGAGTGAATAATTCCTGAATACTTTCCAAGGTCTTGAAATTCTCATACTTACTCACAAGCATTGTAAGTTTTGTCTCTTTCACCTGTGAAGTTCCTTCCTTCGTTTGTAACTTCCAAAGTATTTTGAATTTCCTGTGCAATAGTATAATTTATCACATGGCTAACCTCTTTAACAACAAAGAGCATTCATTGCTTTTGTGTTTAAAGAATAAAGTTTTTTGTTACCTAGGGAACTCTTATCTCTGGGAGTGAAAATGTTGGTCTCAGGTACAACGGTCTTAGGTAGCCAGTCTCAACAATACTCCAAACGTCAAAATCGATAGATAATAAAAAAAAGTATGTGCGCTTTTCAATAGGTGTAATGTATCTCATTGAAAAGCGGGGGTTTGGTTAATTGTGTGTCCCTCAAGAAAAGGTATTGCGATGGTTAAACTAGACATCACTACCTTGGTTGTGAATCCTAAAGATGGGTAACGAGGCTCTGATATCATTTATTAGATATGAGATGCAAGCATAGAGGGGGATGAATAGGATTGCTACTATTTTTTGCCAAAAACATAGAATATGCAGCAAAATATAAAAATGATAAACGATATAAAGCAATATAATTAAACACTAAGAGCAATCAACCAGGAATACACAGGATTTTATGGTGGTTCGGATAATAATCCTACTGTTCACCCTTCCTTCTCGTGAAGGGGCTTCCTCACCATGTAAAGAGTTCACCAGAATCACATACTTGATTTTGTAGGCTTAGAAGACTGCATCTTGGGATCTACCTAAAACTAGTCGTCTAACTTAATTCTCAATAATTAGTAACACCTAGCCCTAGCTAGTCTCAATCCTCAATTCAACCAGCTTGAGTATGCCGTAAAAACAACAAAAACAAACACAAATAGTTAAAGCTTAGAAAATCAAGAAAGATCTTGTAGCCCTTTTGTTAAACAAACCGTCCTTCAAAGAATATAAGCATGGCCGGCTCGATGAAGAATGATAAAGAAAATCAAATCAAAGGCAACTCTCCTCGCTGAAACAATCTGAAAATGTTGTGTGTGATGAGTGAGAGTTTATCGAGGCTCCGAGGGTCAAATTCTTCAACTTGGTCTCTCTAAACCAAAACCTTAGAACTCTCCTTTTCTCTCTCTCTCTCTCTCTCTCTCTCTCTCTCTCTCTCTCTCTCTCACACACACACAGAAGTCCCTAATAGGTTAGGAAAGAGAGATTCTAAACTTGGTAGAGATTGAAGATATTAGAAACGACGAATGACTGAGATTAAATCTGAAAAACTGTAAGCTGTCGTGTTTACCATCGGTGGTGTCGATGCCCCATCGATGGTTGAGAGGCCCATCAATGATATAAAAGTCTCTAGAATAAAAATCATCGATGATGCTTATTGACCATCGATGAGCTCTTCTTACCATCAATGGTCAATATCAACCATCGATGTTAAAAGAAGGTTAAAATTAGCTTTTGAGACGATTTCCGTGTCGTTTCGCCTTGTACACTTTTTATACATGTATTTAACTGTACTATATCATCTCAAATAAATATTAGTACTAAATGAGGATTTGTTATTACTCAAGCAAGAGATGTTGTACGGCCTACGTTCCAATACCTTCGAACCCCATGTTTTTTTAGTGTTTTTGGGAACTATAGCAAAAAGTTGACATTTGCTGTATAGGACCCTCAAATTGTCTGAAATTTTCAAAAATAACCCCAAAAGATTATGGTTGGGTAAAATTTCCCACAAACCAAAACCTTAGAACTCTCCTTTTCTCTCTCTCTCTCTCTCTCTCTCTCTCTCTCTCTCTCTCTCTCTCACACACACACAGAAGTCCCTAATAGGTTAGGAAAGAGAGATTCTAAACTTGGTAGAGATTGAAGATATTAGAAACGACGAATGACTGAGATTAAATCTGAAAAACTGTAAGCTGTCGTGTTTACCATCGGTGGTGTCGATGCCCCATCGATGGTTGAGAGGCCCATCAATGATATAAAAGTCTCTAGAATAAAAATCATCGATGATGCTTATTGACCATCGATGAGCTCTTCTTACCATCAATGGTCAATATCAACCATCGATGTTAAAAGAAGGTTAAAATTAGCTTTTGAGACGATTTCCGTGTCGTTTCGCCTTGTACACTTTTTATACATGTATTTAACTGTACTATATCATCTCAAATAAATATTAGTACTAAATGAGGATTTGTTATTACTCAAGCAAGAGATGTTGTACGGCCTACGTTCCAATACCTTCGAACCCCATGTTTTTTTAGTGTTTTTGGGAACTATAGCAAAAAGTTGACATTTGCTGTATAGGACCCTCAAATTGTCTGAAATTTTCAAAAATAACCCCAAAAGATTATGGTTGGGTAAAATTTCCCACGAAATCCTCCTCCACTTTGTTTATTCATAGTTCCCTAAACTTTGGGATCTATCACTTAATCCCTAGAACTTTGAAATTCTTACAAGACACCCCCAACATCATAACTCGTTTAATGGTAAAAATGACAAAAATGCCCCTCTAAATGTTTTAAAAATTGAAGAAGAAAAAAATCAATGCGGACAATGAGGATCAAAGGAAATGTTTTAATCCCGAGTTAATCACTAATATATGAGAAAATTTGATTATAGCCACTCACTTCTCCGAGTAAATGAGTTCAAAGAACTATACACAAGTACGTACCGGACCTATAAAAAAACTGTCCTCGATCTGCACATTTATCTTAAAAAAAAAAACAAAAAATCCCAACTTCTGTTTGAGCCTCTGTATTTGGCTGGAACCATTAACCACAAAACAAAGGAAAAATTAAAAAAAAAATAAACTACTTGATTGATCGTCTTCCTCTATTTCCTCTTGCTTGATTGCCTCCCATTATCCTCAACCTCTTGCAGGTAGCGATGAACATCCTACAAACACCAAAACAAAGAGATTAGCTACACGCTAAATCTTAACTGATTAGTTTGCGCAATGAGATTACATTAATTAATCATATAAACTCACCCCCAGGGTACGTCTCCAACTAGCATCCAGTCCCCATCCCCATCCTCGTACGTGACTGCATAATCCAAGGAAAAACACTTGAAAAACAAATTTTCTAACCCCTCCCTGAGCTCTTCATACCCTCTGCACGCTTCCAAATCGATCTTCCTCAAGTACGGAGCTCCATCCATGCCAACCTTCACGTACATCCCACCACCGTTATCGGTCTCTTTCGTCGTTTTCGATCGAAGACCACCGTGGGACTTCCTATGAGACCGAACCGGTGGCCATCCTACAACTTGTGCTCTGCACATAAGCAAATATGGGTTCATTGCGGATACACCTCTTGTATATACCGTGATGTTATTCCTCTGTTAGGTTGAGGTGTCATTTGAGAATAATGTTATATATGATAAATTATTATTTTCCTCGAAAAATAACGTATCATCAAGCGACCACATACACACAGTACACGAGGTGTTTCTGCGATTAATCCTTACGAGCGAGGTATCGATATATATATACGTACTTGGCCACGGGTGCAATCGCGTAACCATCACGTCCCTCGTGGGATCTCTTGGCGCCTCTCGTCGTTGCTTCGACTGAGTACTCTTCGGTCCCTGGCAAACCCAAGCGCAGCTCGGTCGCCTTGAGGTTGTCGATTAAGCAACCGTAGCTCTTTACACCCTCCATTGTGTGCAGAGATGAGACGCTGTGCTTTTTTGGTAATGTAGATGTGCTTTTGTGCTCTAGATGTGTTTTGAGTCTATGTGAGGTTGCGTTCATATATATATAGGCTACTAGAAGTTAGATACAGATAGTAGACAAAGTGCTTGTCAACAGAGATTTTTTAGACAAAGTGCTGATCAACAGAGATTTTGATGACTTGGTGACACACTCATGGAAGCAATGTTGGTCCATTACCAGCAAACTTAGCCGACCATTTTTTTATGGGAGGATCATAGCCGTTGGATTTGGGAAATATTTGTAGGGGACAAGGAGCAGCCCATGTGAATGAATCTATGATAAGGGATCAAAGCATATGCTAGGTTTGATAATGGTGACATATGTGTGGGTGTTACATAGTTGAGATCTTAGTGTTTTTAAATATTCACATGCTTTAAAAATTTTTTAATGTCATTTTACTTAGCATCCTAAGCAACAAATACACATGCTCATTTATTTATTGCAAATAGATTTGCTTATAAGATGAACTAGTTACCATTCATAGAATCTTTGCAACTTAGTGATGCATTAGTTAATTGATTAGTATATAACAATTATGCGTACTGACCAAAAATTAAAATAAGCAGCATATATGGTAGAGTAGTTAATGCACATTAGGCTTCTCCTTGTCCCCTGGATTCTTAATTATCCCAACAGGAATAATGAGAAGAGGTAAAGAGAAGATTAAATAGATTCCTTTCTACTTAATGTATGACAAATTTAAAGGTTAGGTATATTTTGAATAAGAGTAAAAAATGTTATAGATATCAATAATAATCTTCACATGGGGGGTTGTGGATGCGAATAGTCAAACTAGCTAGTTTGGTCATTATCCTAACAAAATCATCTAAATATAAGAACATTTGTTCTATAACTATCTAAAAATATTGCGAAATATTCACACATTCCTGATATAACTAATACTGTCGGCCAATGAAAATTGCGAAATTTCTCATTTTTCATTCAGTGCAAGTCACAACCGTTCCTCAAATGAATCCATCATTAGACTTGACACTGAAAACCTACTAAGATAATCCTCTAATCACTTAATTAATGGGGATATGTTGTAAGCTAGGATTCATAGCACAAAGCAACCTTGCATTAATATTGAGATAACAATATCTCAACCTTGAGATGGACAACTTAACTTTGTCATTTAGATATTGAAAAGAGAAACAAATTGGCACTCTACTAGTTCAAAGTAGGTGCATTGGTCTATTAGCTGCCTTCATTTTTTTCTTCCCCCATTTTTTTCCCACGACAAAAATTGCATCAAATAAGCAACCCTGAGTGCCTAAAATGTCCATAACTATTCACATTCCTTGTATTTATTGGGAGCTTAAGAACTGAATTCATGTATCTACCTTTCTAAAGCTTCATCTGCATATGATCTGAGAGCCAAAATAATATTTAAGACCAAATACATATGCTATAAGTGAAGTGTGTTTACTGCAAGTACAACAGCATTCAATTAGGATATTCTTGGCGAGTTGCGACTGTCTGCACATCAAAACTATGTAGCTGTGAACTTCAATTTTAAAGATCGCTAGCTGCAAATGACTTACACAGGTCTGAATGTAAGTCGTAGCTGCAGCTTTTTTGGACTATAAATGGGGTTTAAGTTGCAACTCTAATTGCAAAAAGTCCCGGATTGAAATCCCAAAACCTTGATATTCTAAAACAAACACATGCAATTATAGCTGCAGCGATAAATTAAAAAACTCTTAATCTAAAGAAAACGATGAAGCATTGACAGAACAGGAACCTTCAAGCTCCTTTGCGCGTGTGCATAACCGTGACAGCCTATCACATAAGAAATGTAGTTGGCTTTATGCGCATCAAAACACGCGTACCTGGGTCCTGTCTTCAGCATAGGTGACTTGTGCACGCGTGCACCTTGACGTTTCCAGCTCACTGCGCTGCTGGAATTATAAGCACTTAAAATTTTCTGAAACCAATCTCAAATTCAATAGACAAAGGAAATACATAGCACATGTATTGCTTCATACCCATAAGTTTTGATTTTGAGGCTTCCTGAATTAAATTCTGTGTCTGAATAGACTTCAGAGCATATTTTTTTGACAGGTCATTGGCTGAGAGATATTACAAAACGAGCACACTTTAGAGAGCAATTCTTATAAAACTTGGAAGAAAAGGCTAAAAATATCCAAACTCCAAGCTAATACAGATAAATACTTCAACAACAAAAAAACACATATTTTCTATAAAGACTCGTTGAATTCTGGAATTTGCTGTCAGCATCCTATAGACTCTCATCTATAAAGAAGAAAAACAGCACGAAAATGCGAATAACATATATCGGTAGTGATTAAAATCCAGTGCTTAGAAGGATCAAGGTAGAAAGACAAAAGAAAAATGACATAAATAGTTTGCACATTTAAGCATATCCTACATCATTAGAGATGAAAGGGTACATAATTGAAGATTAAAAAATATATATGTATGTGTAAGGCATAATTCCCTCATTCTAAATATAATAAAATAAAAGCGCAGCCACACCTTCAAGTTGTGTCATTATAGTTGGATCTGCCGCATTGCTGCGCGTAATCTTCAGGCCATAATAAACTTGCAATGTAAGGAGCCCGACATTAGCAGTAATCAACGAAAAACATCTCAAGCTTCCCAAAATTACTGCTTACCAACTCATAGAAATCAACTCTCCCTTCTCTATCACAAAAACACCATCTTCCCATCTTGAATCATTACAGGCTCCACGCTCCATCGAACATATATGAACCCGTCCAGCCTCAAACTGTTATGATATTGTTTCCCCCATTCACGATTGTCATAGGCCTTCAACATCCATATATCCATTTGCACAGAAGAGGAGTGTATTGTTTCCCCCATTCACGATTGTCATAGGCCTTCAACATTGAATGATAGAGCGACCTCCAGCGCTGGTTCATCACGAAAGCGCTCTTTAGGAATAATCCACCGTATGACATCGTTGACAACCACAGGAAAATCATTCAATGAGTTTGAGGGATGTAGTGAGATTGGAGCTTGGCTTATATATTTTCAAGAACTGCTACCTCCACCCAATGTATAAACCTCACATTTCATGGTCCATTTGTAGCTTTCCCTCTTCAACCTAGAAAAGGACGAGATAAACATACCGCCTTGTATGCTCTTGCCGAAGGATCAAAGGCAATTCCTACAAGAGGAAGCTCACCTACAATGTCACTGTTGTGCAAGTGACCCTCAGGAAGTGCTCTAGGTCTCCCGGCTTCACCATGGTCAGGTCATCATTTGTGATGCAAAATGAACTATCACAAATAACAAAATAATAATAATAATAATAATAATAATAATAATATGAGGGTTACCAACAAGGTTACATGCATGTATGATTTTTTATAACTGTAAACTGTTATCCTACTGCATGAGAACACATAACATAATATACAATTTACAACACAACAAAACATGACACGTTACATGATACAAACATAAGACAGGAAAACAGGTTACAGACCGAGATGAAAACTTAGACGCAATTTTGTGCGTGTATTTTTACAACTGTAAATTGAAACGGAAAAGTTTCCATTACTATTGAAGAGTCTATAGTACCATAAAATAAATTGAAGTTAATCATTCGCCTAAAAATCTTGCCCCTTGAACTATTCGTTTTGTCCCTTCATACCTATGAACTATTTTTAGTCTTATATTACCCCTTGATCTAACCAATTCGTCCTAATGTACCCTTGAACTATTTTTAGTCTTATATCCATCTAAAATACCCATAAACTAATAAAGCAGAAGTGGTAATTAACTTGGTACCAAAAGTGATAGTTTAGGGGTAAATGTGAGACTAAAAATAAGTTCGGGGGTAAAAACGGACGAATTTAATAGTTCTGAGGGTAAGACTAGACTAAAGGCGGTTCGAGGCTATGAAGGGTCAAATTGAGAGTTCAAAGGGCAAGTTGGGGTTAAAACAAAAAAAATGCACCTATCAAATCACAAATAAAGTTTTAACTTGTAATCTTAACACACCAAACACATTGAAGTTCATAATCTTCAACAATAAAAAATTCAAGAGTAGATCCAAACCGACTCAACAATTTCCTACAACACAAATCCATGTACATTTTCTTAAACAACCTTAGGATGTCAATATATAACAATAGAAGTTATTTGTTATAAACTTAAAAGTATAACTATAGAAGTTTGAAGTGATGGGGGAAAAAAATAAAAAAGAACATCATACCTTCACGAGTTCGTCATCAAGATTGTTTGGGTTACCGGTACAAAAACAGATTTATTATCGGGTTTGGAGTTATTTTAATGCATGCCCCTCAAATTGTTGAATTTTTAAACACACCCCCACCCCTCAAATCAACACAAATTTATAATTGGGGTAAATTTCACTTAACCTCCCAGAACCTTGAGGTTTCGTACATAAGGTCCCTGAATTTTATTTGTTCCACTAACCCCCTCAGCTTTGTCGTGTCTCACGTATATTGTGTTACGATGTGTCACGTATCTATTTTAACGCCCAGTTCGCTTTTGAGCCCTCAAATCAATCACAAATAAAGTTTTAACTTTCATTTAATAAAAATAAAAGTGTCTTACAAAAGTTGGATACGAAATGTATCCGTCAGTTGATAGATAGAAAACTTAATTTCTCTTAACCATTGATGTATAACCTTCTTCTCCTAAACATCCATGAAGATGAAGAGAGGGCCTTGCCGTCATTCATCGTTGACATAGATATAAAGGAAAACCAAAGCCGGCCATACATGTAGCAAAAGAGAAATTAAAATACATTTTTGGGATGTTGTAAAAAAATACAGAAAACGCAATCAATAAAAATTTGACGTAAATAGTTTAATCTTGAATGTACTTAGGCCCAAATATTCATAGTCACAATTTTCTGTTAGTTAGACCTTCGAATTAGGTCTAGGATAGTCGAAAGAATAAAGTTTTAAGGCTTAATCAATCAGAAACGAGATGAAATGCATTTTTAAACAATTATTCATTGACATTCTAATTAC